TTTCCAATAAATAAAATAGCGACATCCACCCCTTTAAAATCAATCCAAGAATATATCAAAGGTGTTCAAACAACATTCAAGCCGCGTTCGTTGAAAAGTTCAACCAGCATCGCGTTTTTTATCCAAGAAAAAACTCCAAAGTCCTCGAGTCAACATTATTCAAGATTATAATATACACATTCTAGGAAGATCGAAGAAGCAAGTCCTCCAAGATGTCGTCTCCAATCGAATCAAGTCCAAACCATTTAATTCGAGATCAAGTCATTGGACCCCCTAATTAACGTTAGGCAAATTAAATCTCAAGCATGAAGGAGATTTAACCGTCAAATCTAACTTCGAAGATATCAGCCTAAATCTAAGAAGAGAAGAATAAGAGGAGATATATAGAGATTATACATGCAAAATAATTTGATCGAAATAAAATTAAGTTGCACAAAAGTTTTATGTATTTCATTAAATTTGTTGTTACAAATCAGGTTCGCCCAGTTGGACTATCTCTACCTTTTATCTCTACTCTTCAAATCATGTTCGAAGATATTTGAAGTTGCATGTCGATTTAAAAAAAAAAAAATACACAAGGGGGCAAATGAAGATAGTGTCTCCTGAAGCCATGAAGCTGCCGAAGATCATCGATTTCTTCAAATTCCGTGGGGGCAATTTATGTGAAGTGCTTCCACCCAATCAAATCCTCAATGCTTCTCTATAATAGCCTAAACAATCTATAAATTTAAATGTTCCTTGATATTAGCCTAAACCAGTGTTCTAAAAATCGGCCTAGGCGGCTCCTAGGCGCTAGACGGTGATGCGCCGCCTCTGATTTGCTAAAATCTGCCAGAAAAATCGGTCGGGCGGGCTAGGCGGCCTCGTCGGTCACGGCGGCTACGCGGTTTCGACGGGACTAGGCGGCTGAGGCGGGCTTCTCGGCGGCTGAGGCGGGCTTCTCGGTGCCTTTGACAAATTTTTTCTGTCAAACAGAAATCAGAAACCCTCGTCGACCACTCCCGTTCATCGGCCTCCACTTCCAGTTTCCATCTGCTTGCGCCGGACTGCCTATCTCCGTCGAAGTTCGCCTCTAGTCATTTAGTTGTAATTTGTAAGTTCTGAAAGTGAAGACTGAAAAGAGGCATGTTAAAGATTTGTAAGAATTGCTAGTGTCATTTGTGTGACTGCCTTTCTCTCTCTCTCACTCGTATTTGGTGTAATCTTGATTCTTGGTGTCACTTGTTTTATTGTTTTGCTAGTTTTTTTTTTTAATTATTTATTATTATTATTTATCATTTAGAAAAAAAAAGACACATGTCGGGGGTGTATAAAATATAAATTGGTGGATTATTGGACTTCCACTAGCTAAAGTTTAGTCCGATTAAAAAATGCTATGTAGCCGACACCAGGTAGGCCCAATCCTCCCTCACTTTTTTCATTGTGTGAGTAGCTAGTCTCTCAGTTGTGCGATTGCTTTTATACTTCATTTGAGATTGATTAGCAGTACTCAAAGGCTCTAATGAAAGTTATAAACATAATAGAGTTAAAGTTGTAAATTGTAATTTCAGTTTTGACAACGTGGAATATAATTACTATCATGTTTTATTGGAACTTAGTTGTATGGATTTATTAATTATAAGTTATGTTTCATTAGTGAAATTGTGAAAATAAATAAAAGATAACATATTTATTATAATTTCTAGGCCCCGCCTAGGCCCCGACTAGGCGCTCTAGGTGCTGGTCGAGTGCCTTGCGACTTCTAGAACACTGGCCTAAACTATCTACAATGTTCTTTGATACGAACTTAAACAATATATAATGCTCTTTGATAAGAGCTTAAACTACCAATAAAACTACTCAACATGAGTAAAAACTTTTCGAATCCCCAAATAATGATAGCAAAAAACTGTCTTAAATCTTAAATTCTTTATGCTCCTTGATACGAGTCTAAATTATCTATGATTCCCATTGATAAGAGCCAAAACCATATATAAAGTTAATCGATATTTTTAATGGTCGAATGTCATATGTTCTTCCGACCAAAAATCCCTATCTAATTCCAATTCATAAGCAGATTCTTGATGGACTTTCCTCTTTCGTGCGTTGGATTTGTGCTCCATCTGTTAATCCACTCCCAAGCAATTCTCTATTAATTTTCTTTCGAAGCCCACTGGTAAACGTAACAACCCAATGTAGTGGGTTGACGCTTAGTGGCTTTCAAATAGGCGGCGCGAGTGAAGATTTAGTTTTATGATTGCACAGTTAAAAGTTTTGAATGAAGGTTCAATCTGAAATATTGAAAATAATGACCATTTATGCTTCTTGTTAGCCCAAAAGATGACTCGACAGTTGGACTAAACTTTCTATTTTTCTTTTTTCTTGGGTCAGCTCGCATTAGTCGCTGGCCAATGGAGCGAACCAATTTATCCCGCATTTAAATGGGTTGGAGGATTTAAATCCAGGCCCACCCACCTGTTTAGGATGGCAGACGACCCAGTCCTCGGCTTTCGTCTGTCTTGACACGGCTAAGTGTGATTCTTTAATATATAGAGACCAATGAACATTCTCTATGTAGTGATGAACAAAAATAGGGATTGCCAATATACCTATATTATGTGATATGGGATATTATATGTCTAAAGAATAAACCGGTTTACCATGTTGATCGCACGAAGCTCGACAAGGGAAAAATCATATTGGTCGAGCACTAATCGGCCAAAAGGGAAGTGATCGAGCAAGATAGCAGATATGGTCGATGATCGACCTAGCGAAAGGGAGCTTGGTTATATCGAGCACTCAGCGGGTGAAGAGCAATCGAGGGTGTGGCTTGAACGCGAGGGAGCTCGTGAACTCTGTCAGAAAATCTCAACGGAATACGCAGGAGAATAATCACCCTCTGCTCAGAGGGACACGTGGCAAGATCACATTGGTGCAGAGCGATAGTGCCGTTAACCACCTCTGACACCCCTGACACACGTACACTGTGTGTGTACGGATGGGCAGTGCGGGCTGGACAGCTCACCAAATCCGGGCAGCTTCTAGGGCAAGTATCTGACTCCTATATATATAGGAGTGAGCCCTTTCTTGTTACTTACGATTTATCCATTACATACTTTGGAGAATTGAGTAAAATATACACTGACTTAGGCATCGGAGGCTCTTCACCGGAAAAACCCCCCGGTGTGAGAGTTCTTTGCAGGTACGCGGCATTCTACCGGCGAGGAGGAGGAAGACGAGCAGATTTCAAGTCAGTCGGAGTGTTTTGTGTTACCATTTGGCGCCGTCTGTGGGACTTTCGTTCGAAAAGTGGTGTGCTGAGATTACTGAAGCTTGGTGGCTATGGCGGACGGAATTTCTAGGAGAGATTTACAAGCATCATTCGACGAAGCGTGGACGACGACGAGGCCGTTTGGAGAAGGCCCTTCTCTGGGCTTCTCTTGATCCTTGCGTACACCGGTGACCCTGACGCCTGTTCCCCAAAGTGTAGGAGTCACGCCGGTGCAACCAGAGGCCGATGTGGGCTCAAGCCGAGCTCAGGAGGCCCATACGACTCAGGGAGTGGCGATCCCGACGCCGCTGCAGCCAGATCTGACTGTGGCGCCGCAACAAGGAGCGGTGGCGCAGGGAGTACCGCCACCGCGTATGGAGGAGCAGTGCCCAGCGCAACAGGTGGTGATGACTAGGCAGGAGATGCAGCAGATGGTGGCAAATGCGACGGCACAAGCGGTCCAGCAGGTCACGCAAAACCTTTCTCGAGTGGCGGCTGGGCCCACGATGGCGGAGGAGGATGTGTCTAGCTATGGGGGAGATGGAGCTCTGTGAGATCGGGAGATGGAAAGACTCGCGGAGCAGGTGAGGCAGATGCAGGCCAAGATGGATGGTCGACCTGAGAAGCGTGCTCGAGGACATCCGTTCTCGAGGGAAATACTGGCTGCACCGTTACCCGTGAATTTCAGGGACATGAGTTTGGTGCTCGATGGGTCTTCTGACCAATCGAGGCATGTAAGGGCATTTGAGAACTTGGCTGTGTTTCATGGTTATTCTGATTCTGTTAGTTGCAGGGCGTTCTTGTCGACCTTGAGAGGAGATGCGCTCGACTGGTTTCAGCAGCTCCCTCATGGATCGATCAAGGATTTCGACGATTTTGCGGAGAAGCTGATGACCCAATATGCGAGTGCTGTGGCGTAGAAGAAGACGTATTTGACTTTGATGGCCATGAGACAGGGGGAGAAGGAGTCGTTGCGCAAGTATGTGGCTCAATATAATCAAACTTGTTTGGACATCCCCACGGCTGCTGACGAGGTGAAGCCTGGAGGGTTGATAAGAAGTTTACGAGCAGGGCCCTGTCGAACATCCTTGGCTAAAACCCCTGCTCGTACGTATGACAATGTGCTGAAGAGGTGCAAGAAGTATATTAATCTGAAGGAGACGGAGGCAGAGTTTGCTAAGTTGGAGGAGTTAGCTAAGCCAGAGCCCAAGAAAGGGAGGGTGAACTC